CTATCTATCTATCTATCTATCTATATATATATATATATATATATATATATATATGCAGTCTGCAGGGTTACCAGATTAAAATTTTTACTTAAAGCCAAATAATACGTATAAAAAGCCAGACAAAAAACCAAATCAAAATTTGTATATAACGCCAGAAAAAAGCCCAATAAAAATATGAGATTTTATTTACTTTTATATAATAAATGCAAATGTCAGTGTATCAGTGTGTCACACTTTATCAGCTTTACTCCTGGAGGCTGTAGCTCAACATATCATACCATCTTGAATTCAGAGCAACTATGTGAGCAAATAAAAAAACATTCAGGGCTGGATCAGGACTTGTAATCCTGAAATTTTGGATTCTCAAGTTTTAATTACTGTGATTGTTTTTGGCAATTTACATGATTTTTTGCGACTAATTTTTTTGTATGATAACAATTTTTATAACTTGGAAATAAATTTGGGAATAATTGAAATTAATTGCGAAATACAGCGAAAGTCAACCATGAAACAAGAATAATTGTTTGTATGGAAAGTAAGGACCTACGTACATCAAATTGTTTTTAAATTAAATGGCGACAGAAGAATTATTGTTGAAGGTTTAAAAGGTAAGTTTAAATATTAATGTAATACTTAAATACAGTGATCAGTTTTGAGTTCTTTTGTAGTTTATTGTTGCCTATCGCACATTCTCCTCCCTACCAAGTGTGATGAAGGCCTAATCAAGATCCCTCCGCAGAAGTTAGCTTAAATGTCACCCAATAGAGCAACTTTTAAGTACGTATTAATATATACTGGGATTTTAGGTATTCTATAATGAAACCATTTTATTATTTCTTTCAATTTTATAGTGATTTTCTTTTTTAGCTGTAAATTTGAATTTAATTTTATTTATATAATGATAATCAAACAAGTCTGATTCCCTGGAAAATTTCATTTTTACAGTGTTTTCTTTTTAGAATTTTAATAATACTTTATATGATTAAACGCATTTTTAGAAAAATTTCATGAAAGTTAAATTTTTTAATCAAAAAGATTTTTTTTACCTAACTTATTAAACCTAGTACCTGTCTATATTTCTGAGATGAGGTATTATGTACACTATTTACATTATTCTCATCTTTGTCACCATATTTTCAGCCGTTGTATGCTCTGGCCTTCTTCAGGTGGTTGGAATGTCGAACTGAACCCTTTATTTTGCTCACTTGGGTAGATTGTTCTAGCTCCACATGCCATGTTTAATGGATGTCAGTTAAGGAATCAGCACATATGCTAGGCCACAAAAATCTCCTGAGCCGACCAAGCATAGAAATGAATACAATATGGGAACCAGTAATAAGGAATGCAAGAGAAAAGTGATAATAACAACAAAAATTACAATATGAGCTCTGGTAAAAACATGCAATGATAACAGCAAAAAATTGCAATATGAGCACTGGTAAAAAAATGGATGCTAAAGACATTAGGTTTATAATACCCAGAAATTCATATGCAGATGTCCTCAAGGACACATGGCACAGTGGATAAAGGTGTTAAATCCAGTGACAGGACCCAAAGAGTCTGAGTTCAATACCCAGTTAAGGCAGTGGAGAACTTTCAGTCGGGAATTAACAAGAGGTAACTGATATCCATTAAACATGACCTCATCTTTGTGAGGACAAGAGTCTGAATAATGTAAATAGTTTTATTAAACCTTATGATTGAATTGTAACTGTTTTATCAATTATTCATTTTTTTCAGCATGTGTATCTATAAGGCTTTTTTAAAATTTTATCTAAAGAATTTAATATTAACTTAAAAAAGAAAAATTAGAGAAGAGGCTCAAGCATGTGAAAGACCAGAAGAAATGGTCATTATTTATTTGTTTATATGATAGAGAATTATAAAAGAGAAATTTCTTCCTTTTGATTGGCTGCTGAAATTGGCATAGGTTTACAAAAGAATCATTATACCATTTTGTTTTTTTTTACAATAAATTTCTGGGATCCCTTCCCCTTCTGGATTAAGGATATGATGATAAAAAGGACTGAAATCTCCCATAACTCAGGTGCATCATTGATGATAAAAAAAAAAAGAAAAGATTGTAGCATAGCAGCTGTAATATATTTTTTATCATGTAAAACAAAAAAGCTAAGAAAAAGTCAAAGATGCCAAATCAATTGTCTGGCACCAAACTAACATGAAAAATGCCAGAAATTTGGCATCAAAAAAGCCAATTTGGCAAACCTCGGTCTATATTAGTGGTTAGAAAGAAATCCCAGAATGCATTTGTATGATTTGTCTATAAATTTTGGGAGGGGAATGTTCTAAATGTGGTGTAAAGATTAGAAAGCTTGTCTCATTAGAAGAATTACAACCGAGTAGTGAGTTTGATCCTCACTGAGTGCCCTATACTTTTGGCCTTGTGCTACATCTAAGCCACACTTAGAAAATCATCTATTTTCCCCACTCCATAATTTATTTTTCCTTTCCTCTCTGTTAGTGAACAAACCTCTTGATTCTGTTTATAGGCAGAATACAGTAGCTGCCCCTATTTTTGTGGGGTGGTTGGGTCCTACTAACATATTTTATTTTTTAGTTTGAATGTTTAGTTATATTTTAGTTTCATTTTTGGGTTCATACCTGCCACCTTCATTTCATGTATTTAAATTTTTATATATTTCCATAAACAATAATACTCCCCACCCCTCAAATCAAAGGACATTATGAAATTTTTATGTCATGGGTATTTTTGTACGTTCACTGTGAATATGTGGTATTGCGGTATATCTCAGATTGAATGGTGATGGATGAGTTCTTGTGGTGAATGAGCAAATTGTAATGGATGAATGGGTCATGAATTGGATTAGCTAGGTTTAGGATAGTTAGTGTAGACCAACCTCACCCCACTTCTCTTTGGCCTCATACCAAAATTGTAATTTAAATTACAGTAAATAATCTTCCCCAATAAATAGTCATCACCAATTCTATTTGAACCAACAGTTACTGACTCCCCCTCACTACAGAGTTTTCAAATAAAATAACCTATTAAAATTAACTCATTAACCCTAGAACACTAACCATCAGTTAAAGTTACACCACTACTAAACATGGGTATATCATACATGATTTTGAAAATATCAAAAAAAATATTAAATATAAATCTTTATTTGAAATATTTTTTCAAACTTTGTACTTTGAGTTAACATTAATAGGAACTGAAAACATATTATTTAGGTAAGAAAATCAGGTACTTAAAATTGTAATTAAAAATAACAAAATTTGCGCTGGGTACTATATACCCATGGTTAGTCTTCTAGGGTTAAGGGATAAGTCCTGACATTTTCATTTAAATCAAATAATTCCCTGATTTTTGATAAATTTAATTTTTAAAAATGAGTTACCATTTTTTTCGCATTTCCAAAAGAGCACATACATTTTGGCAGTACCTAAAATAATCTAGGACATTTACTTGGAAAAGACTGCCTTCCTCTAGAAAGAAAATGATTTGAGCAAGTCTGCAAAAACAGAAAGAAGTATAAGATAAAAATCCGTCTTTTCATCTGAAATAAAATTTGACCTAATCACCAAACAGTAGATTTATTTTGGGAAGTGCCTCTTGATCAAGCCAATAACTTTTCAGCATCCCGTTGTATGTAATAAACATTTTCCAGTGCTTCCTCATTCTGTGACAATAGAATTGTCCATTGGGTAATAATTAGAAAACTGGACTCACTACTGTAGTAAGTTCCAATAAAAAAGTAAAATAAAATATGAAAAAAAAACAACATATAAACAAAAATAAAAAGAAATCAAATGAAAATAAGGCATTTTCACTTTCCTTTAAAACTCTTATAATTCTCATCTCAGAAATATAGATAGATACTATAGAGATGAAGCTGTCAAACACAAAAGAAGACATTGCTACATACTTTCTTCCTGCCCCCAGTGTGTGTCAAAAGAAATATCTGTCAGCAATTTCAAATGAATCTACTCCAACAACAACAGTAGAGATGGTCAGTGAATCTTTGCTGATAATCATTTGTCAGCTACTTCAAATGACTCAACAACAACAAAGGCCGCCTGTGAATGTGTTAACATCAAAAATCTTTTCTCAACTGCAGGTTTTTTCTGTAAACCAACTATGATTAAACTGGAAGACAGAACCTTGTTGTTGCTGTTACTGTTGTGAAGATTAATTCCTTCTCTGCCTCAGCAAACATAAATTCAGGTAAAAAGAATAAAACATTGAGTATGGGCAAATAAATGTATAATTTATTTGCATATCTACAAAACTGGTGACTTTTATCTGTTGCTGTGGCCTTAGCAATAGGGAAAGAGAATGGTGAAATTAGAAGTGAAATGGACAATGTTGATAGCTGTTGTTGTCAGTGTTGTTTCTCTTTCAGCTTGTCGGTGTTGACATGAAGGCTGGTTTATATTGCATACCTCTTTCAGCTTGCTGGTGTTGACGTCCAAGTTGGTCTGTTTTGAGTTTGTTGGGATTAGAGAATATATAGCTGTCGTTTGGCTCTGAATTAAAGTTTTGGGAGCAAGAGTGGCTCTGACTGGCCATTAAATCATTCATTTTATTTTTATTAAAGCGGATGGAGCTGATACGCAGAAAACGTATTTGCACAGTCTGCTTTGGGTTGTCGAGTGATCAACATTTGGCTTTTGTAGAAAAATGCAAGAGGCACGACACTACCCAATAAAAACTATTTTTACTCCTTTTTGACTCTTTTGAATTCATGTACATATTTTTGTAAATTATACAAATGTTTTACCTATGTTTTCTTTAATTTTATTTTAAGTATTGTTCGAAATTCGCACATTCAGATTTATAATATAAAAATTTCTGAACGACAGAATTTCTTACAAATAAACTAAGTGTTAGGGAGATACTCAATAACATGTCAAGTCTTAGGATTTTGGTTCATTTTAAATACACGTTTTATGAAATACTAACAAATCCAAGGGAGATTACTCCAACTGCACGCGTTAAACCGGTGTTCAAGATCATGGCAAAGATGGCAGCTATTTCTTCCGTAGTCAAATTATTCAATCCTCAAGTTGTTTCCCAAACTGGACAAACATGCACAGCTTCGATTATTTTTCTCCACGGGTCAGGTAAATGATTAATGATAATAATGACGCACTTAAATTGTTAATTTACCTTTGTTTCAAACATTTGATGACTGTTTTTTTTTAACGAATTATTAAACTAGTGGGTTTTTTCGTGATGCGTTGACTTTTGATTGCTATCACTACAAACTCTCAACGAAAAAAGAGTGTACCACAAACCTCTTGGTTTGCTGGTGTGTTGCTTGTCAAACGAGTCTATGCCGAAGAACAGTCTCGCCTGGGGAGGTAGACAAACCCGACTCCGTTATTACGGGGTCTACGGAGAATTTTTGCCTGTGCCTACGGGCTCGGAATTGTCCCACGTGAAAACCGGCCTTATGCCACATTCTATCTTGTGGGAGGTTTCGTATATACCGAAAAAAGTTGGGTTTGATTTAGTGGGTTTCTGACATTTACAGAGTTATTGGACTTAGTTGGGGTTATTTATTTACAAATATCAACTTTCATACTGTTTCGTAGGAATACCGGTTCCCATAAGATCACCAAAGTTAAAGAACGTCCAGTTTGGTCAGTACCTCGATGAGTAACCGCTTGAGAATAACAGGTGATGTAAACTTGGATGTGCGGTTGGTATATAGGATAACGACTCGGAATTGTTAATCGGAAAGCTGAGTTCATTCCAATTCCAATTGAGTTCGTTATAGTCATTTACGCGCAAATACCCTTGGGAAAGGTATGACTCCACCTCTTCCACTGGGAATTTTTTTTTTTGGTGAAAAACACTCTACAAAAAAAAATAGTTAAAACAAAATGTTTGATGTAACAATAACATTAATTTTTAAGAGTACATTATCTTAAAGCACAGAATGAATTACACAAATTAAGAAGTGCTTTGTGTGCCAAACGATATGAAAGAAAATGAAATATGCCTTTTTCTTTTTACAATCAAAATTACAGCATAAGAATATCATCAGAAACAAAAAAAACTACATAAAAAGGAAGAAAAAGAGAAATGCATTTCTGAATAATTTTCAAAGAATAATTTGGTACAATTTTCGAAGCAAAGTTCATGGTAACAGCAAAGAATAGATCAAGCACACCAACTGAAGACTTTTTGATATGGGAGGGATCTCGATGTTCCTTTCAGTTTCAGTTCTCGTCTGGTAGTTGTCAGAATTCTTCTGTGTTGTTTACTTTCTGGGCCAGGGTGACTGGGATTCCTGTAACAGCTGTTCGTTGACACTGAAAATTAAATCACAACCTCTCCCCCTAAACAACCTACAGGTAGGCTCCAAATACACTGCTCGGAACTTGGACAAAAACTCGCTTTTGGTTTTGGATGAAAAACAAAGCTCAGCTGAATTACCACATATCAAAATGTACCGAAAATATTTTTGAAATTCAAAAATTAAGCAAGAGCCCGTCACGGCATCTGCTTTCTTTCTGATTACACAGCTTAAATTTCTTATACTAGTTCCAACTATAGCATTATTTAATTAGTAAGATTTTTATTATTAAGTCATTATTATCTCCCCCTAAATTCTTTGAATCTAAAAATATTTTCTGGCTTTAAATACAAAGGGCTGATAATCCGTAAAAAAATGAATGAATCAGTGTTTACATCATTGTTATCTGCATTTTTTTTTAAACTCTCTGTTTGCGTTTTTGGAAGCACTTGCACAAACATTGGGGCATAATAATTATTTATCTTTAATCGATAATAGATGGATATATATGTGTGCAACTCACCATGGATAGCAAGCTTCTCTGACTAGATCAATCACGACTGAGTAGTGAGTTCAATCCTCGCTGGGTGCTCTATGCCACATCTAAGCTACGATTAGAAAAATCATTTTATCACTTCGCCGTTGTGTAATGGTTAGCATGCTTGTCTCGCTAGATCAATTACGACTTGAGTAGCAAGTTCAATCTTCACTGGGTGCTCCATACTTTCGGCCTTGTGCCACATGGAAGCTATGTTTAGTAAATTGCCATAAACTGCATGAAAGAAAAATTTAAAAAAAAATTTTTTTTTAAACATTTCTCCCTTTCACCCCAAGCAAGGGAGTACTGCCACTAGCACGCAAGGGGTTACAGAGAGTGAGAACAAGAGTAAAGAGGGGGGTTTGAGGAAAGGATATAGAGAAGGACGGGGATCGTGATCAAGGCATCTGAAGATGTTGATTGACATTACATTTGAATATTTGAAGATTATAGCTATCAGGGAAACAAGTAGGAGAAAGGGAGTTCCACTGTCAGGAAGTGCGAGAGAAGAGGTGGTTACACTTAACTGTTTTGACACTGAAAGGGTGGGACCAAGATGTCAACCTAGTAGCATGCTTAAATTCATGCAGTTGTGGTACCAGTGAAAGTAGCTTGTCAGCAGTTGCCATGAAAATATTTTTAGAAAAGACAGAGAAGCCACATCACATCTGTGAGAAAGTGACTGTAGATAAGATGCCAGGTCAGGACCTATCACATTGCATATCTGTCTTTGGATTTTGCTGAGGACCTCGAGATGAACAGCAGGGGCACCAGACCATATATGGCAACAGTATTTAATGCAAGAATGAATGGTAGATTTGTAGATTTGAAGGATGGACTCAGGTGAGAAAAACCTTCTGGCACAACACATAGAACCAACGTTCCTTGTGGTAGATGAAGCTATTGATTCAATGTAGTTGTTCCATAGAATACTATTTTTTTTTTTTTTTTTTTCAAATACAGACTGCTTTTTCAAAAGGTGTTCAAATGACCAATGGTGACTCATTTTTTCATTTTTTGTTAGGTGACACTGGCTTAGGTATAAAAGAATGGACAAAATCAGTCATGGGCCGAGAGATAGCTTTTCCTCACATAAGAGTGATTTACCCAACAGCCCCCATGAGGTGAGTTTTCTCATCTATTTAAACAAATATCATTTTTCTTTCCTTTTTTGTCATGATAGAGAAATACAGGGTGTTCCAATAGCTTGGACTGATTTTAAATGTGAATTAATTTTAAGCATCTAATGATTTGTTTTCTTTTCCTTTCAGATTTAACAACTTAACTATTTCAATCATGGAAAGATTAACAATTAAACAAAGTGTTAAAGTTATTGAAGCCTATTATGAAAACTGATGTTCAAACAGAAATGCATTTTGCGCACTTCGTGATTTTTGTGGTCAACATAATTGACCAACCGAAAGTGCAATTGGAAAAATTGTTTGTAAATTCAAACAAACTGAGTCGGTGGCAGATGTGAAAACACCATTGCGTGCTGGTTTACATCATTCAGCTGAAAACATTGCTGCAGTGCATGAGAATATGGCTGAAAATCCAGACCCCCTCTATTCGTCATCGCGTGCAGAAAATGAACCTCTTCACAACAACGTTACATTGAATTTTGACAAAAGATTTGTCTCTACACATTTACAAAATTCAATTGACACAAGAACTGAAACCTGCTGACCATTTGGAGCGCCGTACATTCCTCAATTGGGTGCACGAGCAAAGACAAGCTGATGAAGATTTTTTGCAAAACATCCTCTTTAGCGACGAAGCCCATTTTTATTTTGGTGGATTCGTTAATAAGCAGAATTGTCGCATTTGGTCTGATGAAAATCCAAGGAAGATTGCTGAAAAACCACTGCATCCGCAAAATGTCACAGTTTGGTGTGCATTTTTTGCTAGTGGAATCATTGGGTCATATATTTATAAATTTGAACATCCATTTTCGCAATAGGCTTCGATAACTTTAACTTGTTTGATTGTTAATCTTTCTTTGATTGAAATTGCTAAAGACTTAGGTTGTTAAATCTGAAAGAAAAAGAAAAAATCATTAGACGCTTAAACTTAATTCACATTTTAAAATCGGTCCAAGTTATTGGAACACTTTATAAATAATAACAAAAAGAACAAAATTTCACCATCTCTAAAAATAGTTGTATGTTCAAAATTGCCAGGCCAAAAAGCCATAGTTCAATCAGCCAATCAGAAAGCTTTCATAACCAGGATATATGGCCATGCACCAATGAGAATCAAAGCAAGCATTTTTGAAATGGATGTCTAGGTGTGTATATAACCAGATGGAAAATCAACCAAAACTAGAATTGATAAATAAATTTTGTCCATTCTCCAATGCTGCAGTCATTGTAAGAGACCCAGTGATAAAATATAACATTTGCATGACTAGCTGGTGACTTTAGACAGTAAGATCATACTATTACATTTAAAAACATACACCTTTTCTTTCTCCACCTATTTAGGCAGACAACTGATATATTTGAAAAGAGACATACTTTCCTTCACCCACATTATGAAGTAGGCAGCTCCTACATTTGGATACATACATATATATTTACTTCCTTCCACACTCTTTCTTTTTCTCTCTCTCTCTCATATGCAGCAGGTATTTTACACTTGAACTCTTGAAACTTCAACTTTCACCTTATCTTTCCATCCTGGGTATGACGATAAACTATGTCCAACAGCAAGGCCTCTGACCAGGAGGTTTTGAGGAGCATGGAACTGCCCCTTAATTGCTGGTGTTCCCAGGACAACCCTGATCCAGGGTGGTAGCACCTATTAGGGTACCAGCTATGGGCAAATAGTTAACACCCAAACTTGTGTAAAAATAGGTTTTAATACCAGAAATACTTTGTAATAAAAAAAGTATTATCAGCAATAATTTTTGAAGGGAAAATTATTATCAGCAATACTTAAAAAAAATACCAGCAATACAAACACCTATACATTTTTTGAAAAAAATATGACCAGCTATAGATTTCTTCAAGGAAAAATATTCCCAGAAATAGATTTTTGAAGAAAAACATATTACCAGCAATAAAAATTTTGTTGGCATTAAATAACCCATTGAGGTTGATATGCTGTAAACCAAACCAAACCAAACACCTTATCTTTCTGTAATATTGTGTTTATATAAAGATTTATTTTATATTTTTCAAGACTTTGTGCATTTTCTCTTAATCAAGGTCTATATACAATCAAACCAAATATAGCAATATATGAAAGTAACAGATGTTGTCAGAAGATAACCTCCACAAATCATCCTGTAGCAAAAAAAAAAAAAGCTTTAAACTTATTGTAGCAATCAATGCCTGCAATCGGTTTCTTCTGTTTTTCTCGTCCACAACACTTGTAGCCAATTCAACACGGCTATTTGGGTATCAACCAATGGGGTCAGAACCAAAAAGAATCTGTGTGCCAACGCAAAGTTTAATTGAAAATCTGTCGTAACAGTCCAACAGGCAATGTAGTAATGACAAAACAGGTCAGAAATCCAACTTTCACTTCGCAACAGCAGAAACACACTTTCACCCACCAAGCTCCAAAATTGTTCTTCTGCTAAGCAAAAAAACAACAGCCTTTATTCACCGAGTGATTTTTCTGATTGGCCACGCCACTCAGGGGAGGAAAGAACATTAGCATAGTTTCTCTGATATTTAAAATAGCAGCTTTTTGCTAACTATTTTTTTAATGCACCTTTGGCAGACCAAAACACAAACTCTTTTTTTGAGGTAGGTGATTTTCTCTTTTGCTACATATTGATAACTGATAACCAGCCTCTTGACCACCATAACACTTTACAAAATAAGCACACACACACACAGTGTATATTTCAGAAGCAAGAATTCATTTAAACAAGTTGTATTAAATTAAACTGACAAGTCTGTTTGATTTTTATTCATTTTTGTTCCAATTTCTGAATTTGTTGTACATCCAGATGTGTGTAAAATACTTGAATTCATGTAAAATGATTATAAGTATAAAATATTTAATGTACTCATTTCTGATGTTGTTGAGCTCTCTGAAACCATTCTGTACATGATGTCATTTATATGACACACGTATATTTGAATTTGAAATGTAGCATTCCAAAAAATGCCAGGATGTAGCTTTTTTTTAGGATGCTGACAAATTTAATTTCTGATAATGGTTTAGACAGATGAACGTACTCAGAATGAAAATATGAACTTTGAACAGTTTATCAACAGTTTTGTATGTGTTTGCATCGACTTAGTTGGAAATTAGAAAAATAAAATGAAAAATTTTAACTGACAGACCTCATTGGTTGAATTTAATTCAACTTGTTTAATTATATAGGGGGGTGTTTGGAAAGTAATTATGTCTTGTCAGAAAGGATATAGAAACAAATGTATGTTAAAATTCTTTAAATATTATTATAAAAAATTCAGCAAAGTTAAACCAAAGTTGGTGTCAAAAGGATGGTTTTTCCCTTGACACCACTATTATTTTAACTACCTTCACTCCTCAACAATGTTTGTTTTAAAAAGTGATGATTAGAAATGGAATAAAACCTAAACATATGATGAAAGTGAATTTATACGATTATTTTTTTTTTGTACCTTTTAATTGCTGTTGTTCCCAGGTTCACCCTGACCTGGAGTGATAGCAACATCTATGAGCAAATAGTGAACCCCCAAACACCATGAAAGTATCAAAATAGATTTTTATAGTAAAATGACCAACACTACATTTTATCTTTAGTTGAAGGCATACAATTGTGTTTAAAATATTTATATTTCAGTATTAAATAACCCATAGAGGTGTTGATATGCTGCTAAACCAACCAACCATTTTTTGTTCTTGAGAATTTACAACAAAAATATTGAACACTATTTGATTGTTTATTTAAAATAAAAATTTTATATTTAGAACATTCTAAAAACTTATACAATTAAGACTAATGCTATGCAATATTTATCATTTACCAATTCATAAAGTAATAAATATTAAAACAATTTTTTATTCATAAACTTATAAACATTTACTAAAGTATTAAACTATGTGAACCAACTATAAAGAAAATACATATTATTTGCCATTTTATAAAGTTTGAATCAATTTGTAATTAGCTGATGTTTTGCCAACTATTTGAATAAATAATATAATAAGTAAATAGTGTAAATAAACAATTTAATAAATAAATAATAGGAAGAATGGTGGAGTAATGGATAGCAGCTTGGATTGAGGAATCAGAAAGCCATTTTTGAATTCCAGTTGAACTCAGTACATTTACTTTCATGCTAATACCCCTGGGAAAGGTATGAAGCTTCTTCTTCTCCCCCCAGCTATAGGTAAATATAGGACAGACCAAGTTCTATAGCCTTGGATGGTGACTGGTCTACTGCCGAAAGAAATGGCAACCTACTGCAGGAAGAAATCTGCCTCGTCAGTCATGTATTGAAAGATACATGATCGCCTAAGTGTGTATCATGCATGGCACATAATTGACTGAAACAAATATTGTTTATTAGTTTTGTTGGCAATGCTTAAGAACGAAAAAAAAAGGAATGAAATTCACTTTCATATGGCTAATTTTTATTACAATTCTAATCATCGCTTTTTAAAAGAATAAACATTGCTGCGTAGTGAAGATAATTAAAATAAAGTCAGTGTCATTGGAAAAACCATTCTTTTGATACTCTGTTTTTTGTGGGTACAAATGTCTAAATTTGCTGTAAATTCTTAAAATATTATTATAAAATATGTTATCACCTTCATTTTCAATGACTGCACTTTAACAGGATGGGAAATTTATGATTCGATGTTTGAAAAAAAATATGAGTTTACTCCCTCCCAATGTTTGAAAGACAGTTTTCAATTTTTTTGTTTTTGAATGTCTGGCATTTATTTAATGCTTGAATGAAGAGGAAATCAAAATCTTTAGGTGACTAAATCTGGTGAGTACGTGAAAGAACCTGCCATCTTAATGTTCTTATTTTTTTGTATGTGTGTGTGAGTGTTTTGCAGAGTATGACCTTGCACTATGCTGGCAGTAAATGTCTGCAGTGATGGTCTTCCCATGTTCCAGAAGCTTGTAATGGACGACAAATTTCATTTTCCAATATGTCTGGTGGAAGGACTTCTAGTTTGGGTTTTGGTGCTTGTTCTTCAGTTTGTAATCACTACTGTCTTTTTTGATTTCTCTTGACATGCAAAACCCATTTTTCATCATTTGTAATAATTTAATGTAAAAATTAAAGATTGTCTTTTATGGTTAAAAGAATGCTGCAGATGGTGGAAAATTGCATTTGGTTCTCAAACAAAAGCTCATTGGGAATCTTGTGGGTGAATAGGTTGTTTTTTCTTATGCATGTTGACAGTCACCAAAATGTTCTGGGAGATTCACTTACATCATAGCAGCAGAAATTAGCCTTGTGTTCATGGTGATAAAAGCATACTTGACAAGTAATAAAACATACACAAATAACAGGAAAAACATGATAAATTGAATGTAAATTTCATACAATTTATTTATATTTTTGTGTGTATTTTTTAGGTTACAATTGTTTTATTTAAATTATTTACATTGTTTGGACTGCTGTCTTCATCTTTATTGCCATGTTCACAATGTTTTGTCTGTTGTACACTCTGACTTTTGCCTATCATCCAGCTCACATTCCTCCCTGGTCTTTTGAACAGGAGTAGAGGTTTATCCTTTGTTTTCTGTTTAGGATTGGTTTTCTTTTAAAGTCTTTTCATTCTCTATGACTCCAGTAGCCTCTTGCATCTTACTGGTATTATCGCTTTGCTTGAAGTGAACTAATGAAAAAAAAGGGTGGAGCATTGTGTTTGGTTCTCAAATGAAAGCTCATTAGAAAAACAAATTTCCACTTTGCAAATCTTCTGAATTAAACACTAAAATGTGCTCTAAATAACATATGATTGGATAGGGGAGGTGAAAAATTCTACACGCAGTTTCTTAATATGCAACATTGCTTCCTCATTGGTTGGTTGACTCATCGTTCATAATGGAGAAATATGTACTGTATATACTCACATATCATGTGACTTTTGAAGAGCTAATTTTGAAGCTAATTTTAAGGGGTTTACATCATACATGAGGTATAAAATTAGCAAATGTACTTCTGGCCCTGCCTACGCCGTTGATCAAACTATACATTCATTTACTGTAGACAAAAAGTACAGCTGGATTATAAATAAACTTGATTTTGATAAAATTGATGTTTTACTTAACTGTATCTAATAATAATGCATGTAATATTTACATATTGATAACTTATTATTAAATGCAAACATATCAAATACGCTTCTTTTCCATTGTTTATGTTTCTAAGATGTTTAGCTGTTTCTCGTTCGGTTGTTTATGGCTGTATGCATTTATGCAACGAGTATAGCGTTACTAACAATACTTTTATCATTCTCTTTTACTTTATTTTAATTTATTTAACTAGAAGATGGGATAAAGAGATAGAGGAATAGAGGTTAGTCTATTGGAATTTGGTCTCTTGAAAAAAGAACTTGCATGATACATGAGATACATGATAAAATCATTATATATATATATATATATATTATATATGAGCACACAGAAGAAATCATAACAGCAAATATGATTTGTCTGAAAACTAGCCTCATTGAAATCATTAATCAAATTTTCACTTTATTGAAAAAAATCAAGTTAGAGAATTCAGGGGAGATAATTTTATCTGAATTGTGCTTTTATGTATCATTCAAAAATTTTGTTAATTTATGATAATGGATATATTTTTTCTCCATAAATTAATCACTGAAGTCTTCATTTATGTAATAATGTTGCTTGATATTTTGGTTTGGGTAATTTGCAGTTCAAGATCTGTGCTCAGCTTCTAATAAAAGTTTCCTGAATAGTTTTATTTAGGTGTAAATTTATATGCTTAGTTTGAAAATAAAGAAATTTTGATAAAATCTATCTATGATCAACAATAAAAGTTCGGACTCATTTGTGTCTGCCATTACTGGCATTGTTTACATATAATAAAACAAATTGTAATATTAATGAAATCTTATTTTAAGTTACTTAATAATCATGCTTTGTAAATTGTAAATTTTTATTTGGTAAATTTAAGTTATTTGGAAAAGCAATGATAAGTATTTTGTAAATAATTATGTTCTTTTTAAATTTTATATAAAGTTTGTGCATTGTGGGTGCATTTAATTAAGACAAGTGAAGTTTCTGCTCATGATTGCTCCATGGCAAATGTATGTAAACAATGCCAGTAATGGCTGCCGTGATGTAGCCATGATGTGAATGTATGGCGATCATCATCACACACACATACACTCTTACAAATTCAAATTTTCAACAGCATTCATTCATTGGACAGGAAGCAATGCTGCTATCTTATACAACAATTTTAAAATCGCTATATTTTTATATAGTAGATTTTGTGCACTTTTAGGAGAATCGGCTCCCAGAAGTCTCTCCAAAGCTCATGCACTGATTGGTCAGTATCGACCAATCAGATTCTCTGCATGTGGAGAATGATACTTCCTGCGCAGCACTCCTCATCCAATGACCACCTATAAAAGCAAAAGAAAAAAGCAGATGCACCAGAAATCCATGACAGTTGAAGCTATGCGCCCATCTTCTCACTCAACTCACAAACTGCATATTCTTTCACACATATAATTTTTCCTCTTGCATGGCAGAACTGTTTAAAAACATTTATAACAGACTAATAACTCTTTCTTTTCTTTCAGAGAACTTTAATAGACTTTGATAGTCAAAGAGAGAACTCTCGTCTTACTCATTGCATGCTTTTTCTTACACATTCTTTATTGTATACATTGTTGAATACAATTTTTATATATATTGATACCTTTGCCTTGTCCCTTTCTTCACATCAGTTTGGTTTCCTAATCAAAATTAAATAAATGTGGTGGAAGTCTGCCACAAATGAGTCTGAACTTTTATTGTTGATAACTCTAAAATTATCAAAATTTCTTTGTTATTTTCAAATTAAGCATGTAAATTTACGACTAAATGTAACTATTTGGGAAATTTTTATTAGAAACTGAATGCGGGTCTTGAATTGCAAATTACTCTTTGGTTTAATTGTAGTAATATTTAAAAATGAGTATAAAAATATTTGTTCTATCCAAAACCTGCTTAGATAAATTAATTCATAAATATTTAAAATGTATTCTTTATTGATTCATATTATTCTTTTTATTTACCTATTTTAATATTTATATATATTATTCTAATCTTATTTTTAATTTTTATGGAATAAAACTAGTAATAAAATAATAATAGAGGGTTGGGATAAAAGAAAGAAAGAAAAGATAGAATAAGCCTGTATTACATACCATTTTTCATTGATACATTTTGTAAGAATATTTTTAAAATATTTTTTTCTTTCTCCTTTTTACTTTTACTTTTTCTTTTTGAGGCCGTACACTCCAATGATGGGAAATCCAAGCACTGTTTGGTTTGATCGTAAGCAGATCTCACCATTTGTTCCTGAAGATGAATCAGTTCCTGACATGTGTGAAAAACTCTCTGCGTTGATAGACCAAGAAGTCAAAAATGGAATTGCTCTAAACAGAATAATTGTTGGTGGGTTGCCTGGCAAATGATTCTGTCTTTTTCCTTTTCTTTTTGCATGATTTGTTTGTATAAAGTCATCATAGCATGGATATAGTGACTTTCAGAAATTGTTCTTGCTTTTCGCCCCCTGCTCAATTCATATCATGTGATTTGTGCACTTACACACTGGTTGAACTTGATTTTCTTTATTTAATAGTCACACTTCTTACATGCACTTACATAACAAGAAAGGAAATAGATGTAACTTATGTTTTGTTGAAAAATTAGTTATCTTAAAACACTTAAACATCCCTAGCTTATTAAAAAAGAGAAATGAAATGATGGTTACATGTAGGCATAAAAATAAATATCTGCTTAAATATGTTGATCAAGATTAATCATACTTATTATAAAACCCAGGTTGTGTGTGTGTGTGTGTGTGTGTTCGTTTATATATTGGATTGGATTTCCTATATTTTTCAACCGATTTCAACAAAACTTCACAGGACTATGTAAAATTACCTTGCGGTGGTTCTGACAGCACCAAAAATTGGAAAAACCTAATTGTTTTTGCATGAAATCAATTTAAAAGAAAGCTGTCGAGAATGAAAAGGGGACAACTATATAGAGTCATACTTATTATAAAACCCAGGTTGTTTGTGTGTGTTATTATTAGTGTGTTCGTTTATATATGGAATCGGATTCTACATTTCCCAACCAATTTCAACAAAACTTCACTTTGTTTTTTGCGGTAGTGTTTTATTGTCTTGCACACTTTTTATTTATTTTACATCCAGAATGCTTTTAAAATTCCATTTACAAGACAATTGTTTATAATAAAATTGAAAAATTCTATTCAATCGGTAGACTCATGACGATTGAAAACAATGTTTTTGTTTGAGTTTGGGTTTGACCAATTCGTAAAAAAAAAAAAAACTAATTAAGACATGCGTGTTCATCAACCTTAAACAATAATCTTTGTCAATTTTATTTTTCAATCTTTATGATGGTCAATACTTGATCTATCTCTTACTGTTACATCCCTGTGCAACGCCGGGCTCTACTGCTAGTTTTTAATATAAATTACAGTCTATTTTTAATGTAAATTACAGTTTATATTTCATCTTTTTATAAAGAAGAACAAGTAATCTCCCCTTAATATAAAAATAAAAACATTATTATTCGCCACTTTAAAATAAATTTAAAAATTTTATTTTCTTACATATAAAATACAAATCCTGTCTATTTTAAATGCCAAATATAACTTTTAAAATTAAAAAACTGTTATCCCAGTATAATATATAATTGTGCCAACATTGTGATAACCAAATTTTTTGTAAATTTAAATTATGTAACAGCCAGTCTATACTCAGCATTTGAAGATTGCATTGTGCATGAGTTGTGCTGTTGGTGACAGATAATATATATATTTATTAACATATATATATATATATATTATGAAAGTCCAACCATTATTTTAATATAATTTCTGTTTATATATATCATTTTTATAGATACAATTATTTAAGTAAATGCTCTGTTTATAATAAACAGTATTAATTACATTTACCGGCCTGAATGTTTGAGAAATTTTGTAGAAAAGATATGTCCTCTGACAGGAATGCTGAGTGGTATAGTACGTCAGATCAAATGATGGTTCCGTGTAGAACACAGGTTCAAATACAGAAGCCAAGGGTATGATAATTGTGACTAGTATCCCACAATACCAACAGAAAATCCTTTAACTAGCAGGGTTGTTTCTCATAAATATAAATGTCTATCTATAAATTCATTGTGGCTATAAAAGAACTTGGACTTATAATCAACATTTGAATAAAATAACAAAAGTTTATAAGTCATTAAATTAACCAACTCAATGCACATGTCATGTGCTATGTATTTTATTCAAATCCTAACAAAATAACTAATCAAAACCATTTTGGATTCTTTGCAGGCGGTTTCTCTATGGGTGGTTGTGCTGCCCTTCATATTGCTTACAGATACCGTCCAACCATTGCTGGTGTTTTTGGTCTTTCATGTTTCCTCAATGAAAACTCTGATGTTTACAAGGTATGCATTAGAATTCGATTACATTTTTGTTTTTATTTTTAATCAATTCACCCCAAACAAGGTGATAATGCCACTAATGACACAACGGGCTACTGGAAGTGAAAATCAAAGAAAAAACTTCGGAAAGAACCAGAAACCTCTACTCCTGTTCAAATAACCAAGGAAATCTGTGAACCAAAGGGTAGGTGAACATATCTACTCCTATTGAGGTATGTGTGTATGGAGGAGGGGGTTAAGTAAATAGTAAATAATATTTCAGTGTTTAGGCAGAAATTTTAGAAGTATAGAGTTGAAATAGACTTTAGAAGGAACTGGAAACCTAATCCTAAACAGGAAACAGGAAATAAACCTTAGCAATGTCGATCCTAGTCAGTACCAAGGTGGGTGACTGCTTTGGAATACCAGGTGCTGCAAGCTTGGATGTGCAGCTGATGTAATGGATAATGGCTCGGAATTGAAAATCGAAGAGTCAAGTTCAAATTCCAGTCAGGTTCGTTACATTCATATTAACTCTGGAAAAGGCCTGAATCCACCTCTTTTCCACCCAGCTATGGGTTAAAAAGTAAGACTTGTATCAATAAAATCATAATTATCTCCCAAAAGATTCTTACAATCTAAAATATTTTCTGGCTGCAAAAGGTTGATAAGCCATAAAAAAACAATCAACACAGTAACTCAGCTCAGATAAAGAGCACCTGAGATGTATAATGCTGCAAGTCCAGAAATAAAGCCAATGACAGTTGTGAATCCAAGATCTTAGACTGTTTGTACAATTCCTGACACCTAGCAAGTCATTCTGTGTATCTTGGGTATGATGATAAACTACATCCTGTCCAAGGTAATTATAAACTACATCCAACAGCAACGCCTCTGGATCAGTAGGTTTTGAGGAGCATGGAACTTCCTCCACCGTTGGTGTTCCCAGGTCCACCCCTGACCTGGGGGTGGTAGCACCTGTTAGTTCCAGCTAGGGCAAATAGTTAAATTCCAGAAACCAGGTAAAAAGTATTATAAAGTGTCAATTTAGGTTTTAATACCAGTAATACTTTGTAAAAAATTATTACCAGAAATAAATTTTGAAGAAAAAAAAAATATTACCAGCAATATGTTTTTGAGGAAAAAAATATTAACAGAAATAGATTTTTGACAAAACAAAAATATTACCAGAAAAAAAAAAGTTGTCAGCATTAAATGACCCATTGATATGCCATAAAACAAAACGAACCAAACCAAATCAAAGCAAGTCATTATGTAGGTAAGCCTGAATTCTGATGGTAATAGATTGAATAATATTATCGCTATTCTAAAATTCCAAAATGATTACAATGCATGCTAACATGGGTTTGTACAGTTTTAAATGACTTACATCATCTTAATACAATCCAGTTAACTTAATGCTTCTAAGCTAAAGAGCCCATAAAATCTTTTACTTTTCTTTTTATTTTGAAAAAAAAAAATTCTTTTCTTTGACAAGTGAAAGTTATCTCCCCTTGCTATTCTCCTTATTGAGTGTTTCTATTCAACTGCCTCGTCAGTCATGTATGGAAAGATACATGGTCGCCCAATTGTGTATCATGTATGGCATCTAATTGCTATTCGACACACCAAGATGAGAAATCTGTCATCATTATCCATCCCAAAGGGATGTTAGGGGTTGCTTTGTTTAAGAAATGATATGTATGGAAGTGAATTTTAAGATCAGATCTGATAGGAAACGTTTTTTAACGAGAGGTTAGTGACTGCAGCAAGCCTGATTCATGTAAACAGGGCTAGCCTTGATTTTCTTTCTTAAGTCTCCCTAAGACACATCAGGGTTGGCTTCCTGTGGAGCCCCCCACACCTGGTTAGGATAGACCCTTCTTGCATACCCAGTTAATGTGAGTAAATGTTGGTCCTGGCCTGTACTTGGCTTCTTCTTTGATTATGAACCAAGCCTAGATTTCTAACCTCCCCAGTTTGTTTTTTTTTGTCTCTCCCTTTTTTCATCTTGACTGGGTCAGTTTTTCTTTCCTCGTGTTTCTATTTATTTCATCTTTCCCTCTCTCCTAGTAAGAGAGCCTTTTGATTTTGTCTGTAGACAGAATACAGCCGTCTTTCTCATTTCTTTTGAGGGTCGGATGGGTCCTACTAACATCAATTATTTTTAGATTGTGTCTTTTGTTATATTTTAGTTTCGTTTCAGGTTCATTCCCCACCCCAGTCATTGATTATCATTGATAATTTTTTATATATAATTCTAAATACACAAATTTTTGTGTCATGGGGTGTTTTTATAGGTCCCCCTGATTGAATGATGATGGATGAGTTTTTATGGGGGATGTGTTTAAATTCAGGAAAAAAAATTCTATTGCAACTTTTTTACATTATTTACACTATTGTCCTCATCTTTGTCGCCATATTTATCACGTTTTGGCCGTTGTATGCTCCAGCCTTCTTCAGGTGGTTGGAATGTTGAACTGAACCCTTTATTTCGCTCACTGGGTTAGACTGTTCTAGTTCCACATGCCATGTTTGATGAATGTCAGCTATCAGTTATCTCCTGTTAATTTTCCCTCTGAAAGTTCTCCACAGCCTTAACCGGGTATTGAACTCACACTCTATTATGTACAGGTTTCTACTGCGTTTTATGTAAGTTTTTTTTTTTTTTTTTCATGATTCAGATTTTCATAAAATTATTAAATTTAATTTTTACAGAAACTGTTTTAAAAAATTTTTATCTACTAAATAATAACAAAATTTCTCATTACTATTTATTACTCTGAAAAGGGATGAACAAAAAAAACTTGTTATGTCTCCCCCACCACTTTTTGTTTTCTGATATTACCTCTTCTGGGTATGACGACAAAGTAAATCTGGTAGAAAAGCCTCTGATTCAGAGATTGGAGGTTTTGAGAAGTGTGGCACCACCTCTTAATTGCTGTTGTTCCCAGGTTTAGCCTGACTTGGGGTGGTAGCTCCTGCTGGGGTCCCAGCTATGGGCAAATAGTGAATACCAAACAAAAATAAAAACACTAGGAAAGTATAAAAAAATACTTTTTTTATAGTAAAATTAACAACAATACCTTTTTATGGCAAAATGACCAGCAATACATTTTATAGTAGAATAACCAACAATCACCATTTTATCTGTAGTTGAAGGCATACGATTGTGTTCAAAATATATTTAGTTGAAGTCATAAAATTGTGTTCAAAATATTTACATTTCAGCATTAATAACACAAAGAGGTATTGATATGCTGCTAAACAAAATCAACCAAACCAAACATGTTAATACCTTTGGGAAAGGTATAAATCTATCTCTACTTCCCTCAGCTATGGGTAAATAGCAGAACAGACTGGATTCTATGGCCTTGGGTGACAACCAGTCTAGGAGAAGGAAAAACTCTGAATGCAAAACCTCCAACTATGAGTAAAATAGTATGACTATCTTGTCTCTGTAGCCATGTTTGTCAACCAAACTAGGAGAAGGACAACTCTGAATTCAAATTTGGAATCTCCAAAGCAATTTGGTCTCATTGTCAATTTTGTTCTAGCAACTCCTGCAAAGACACTGGTACCAAGCGGTATTTGCCTCTGTCTTTCCCATATCTAAGAAAAAGGACATCTATATATGCACATATTCCTCTTTTGATATGCACACACACACACACATTCTAAGAAAAGGACATCTATATATGCACATGCCTTCAATTCCCATGCGCACACGCACACACACACACATATCTAAGAAAACATCTATATACATCTATATATTCACATGCCTTCAATTCTGAAAAAGGACATCTATATATTGAATTCCTCTTTTGAATTCATGCACACACACACACACACACACACATATCTAAGAAAAAGGACATCTATATATGCACATGCCTTCAATTCCCCTTTTGAATTCACATGCCTTCAATTCCTCTCTTTTGACACACACACACACACATATCTAAGAAAAAGACATCTATATATGCACATGCCTTCAATTCCCCCTTTTTGAATTCACATGCACACATATCTAAGAAAAAGGACATCTATATATGCATGCCTTCAATTCCCTCTTTTGAATTCACATGCGCACACACACATATCTAAGAAAAAGGACATCTATATATGCACATGCCTTCAATTCCCTCTTTTGAATTCATGCACATGCACACACACACACACATATCTAAGAAAAAGGACATCTATATATGCACATGCCTTCAATTCCCTCTTGAATTCACATGCGCACACGCACACACACATACACATATCTGAAAAAAGGACATCTATATGCACATGCCTTCAATTATCCCTTTTGAATTCACATGCACACACACACACATATCTAAGAAAAGGACATCTATATATGCACATGCCTTCAATTCCCTCTTTTTGAATTCACATGCACACACACACACACACATATCTAAGAAAAAGGACATCTATATATGCACATGCCTTCAATTCCCTTTTTTGAATTCATGCGCACACGCACACACACACACATATCTAAGAAAAGGACATCTATATATGCACATGCCTTCAATTCCTCTTTTGAATTCACATGCGCACACGAATTATCTATATCTAAAAAAAGGACATCTATATATGCACACGCCCTCTTTTGAATTCATGCATGCACACACACACATATCTAAGAAAAAGGACATCTATATATGCACATGCCTTCAATTCCCTTTTTGAATTCACATGCACACACCCCTCTTTGCACACACACACATATCTAAGAAAAAGGACATCTATATATGCTAATTCCCTCTTTGATATGCACACACCTTCAAGAAAAGGACATCTATTATGCGCATGCCTTTTCTTTTGAATTCACATGCACACACACACACACACATATCTAAGAAAAATGGACATCTATATATGCACACACACATCTTCAATTATCCTTTTGAATTCACATGCGCACACGCACACACACACACATATCTAAGAAAAGGGACATCTATATATGCACACACCTTCAATTATCCCTTTTTTGAATTCACATGCACACGCACACACACATACATATCTAAGAAAAAGGACATCTATATATGCACATGCCTTCAATTCCCTCTTTTAATTCACATGCACACACGCACACACACATATCTAAGAAAAAGGACATCTATATATCTGCCTTCAATTCCTCTTTGATATGCACACACCTATCTAATCTATATATGCACATGCCTTTTCCTCTTTTGAATTCACATGCACACACACACACATATCTAAGAAAAGGACATCTATATATGCACATGCCTTCAATTCCCTCTTTTGAATTCACATGCACACACACACACATATCTAAGAAAAAAGGACATCTATATATGCACATGCCTTCAATTATCCCTTTGAATTCACATGCGCACACGCACACACACATACACATATCTAAGAAAAAGGACATCTATATATGCACATGCCTTCAATTCCCTCTTTTGAATTCACATGCGCACACGCACACACACACACACATATCTAAGAAAAAGGACATCTATATATGCACATGCCTTCAATTCCCTCTTTTGAATTCACATGCGCACACACACACACATATCTAAGAAAAAGGACATCTATATATGCACATGCCTTCAATTCCCCTTTGAATTCACATGCGCACACACACACACACATATCACATATATCTAAGAAAAAGGACATCTATATATGCACACACCTTCAATTCCCCCTTTTGAATTCACATGCGCACACACACACACACACATATCTAAGAAAAAGGACATCTATATATGCACATGCCTTCAATTCCCCTTTGAATTCACATGCGCACACACACACACATATCTAAGAAAAAGGACATCTATATATGCACATGCCTTCAATTCCCTCTTTTGAATTCACATGCGCACACACACACACACACACATATCTAAGAAAAAAGACATCTATATATGCACATGCCTTCAATTCCCTTTTGAATTCACATGCGCAATTCACATATCTAAAAAGGACATCTATATATGCACACGCCCTTTGAATTCACACACACACACACACATCTAAGAAAAAGGACATCTATATATGCACATGCCTTCAATTCCCACACATTATCTAAGAATTATATGCACATGCAATGCACACACACACACACACATATCTAAGAAAAGGACATCTATATATGCACACACCTTCAATTATCCTCTTTTGAATTCACATGCGCACACACACACACACACATATCTAAGAAAAAAGGACATCTATATATGCACATGCCTTCAATTATCCCTCTTTTGAATTCACATGCACACGCACACACACACATATCTAAGAAAAGGACATCTATATATGCACATGCCTTCAATTCCCTCTTTTGAATTCACATGCCACACACACACACACATATCTAAGAAAAAGGACATCTATATATGCACATGCCTTCAATTCCTCTTTTGAATTCACATGCACACACACACATCATAAGAAAAGGACATCTATATATACACATGCTTCAATTCCCTCTTTTGAATTCACATGCACACACACACATATCTAATATCTAAAAAAGACATCTATATGCACATGCCTTCAATTCCCTCTTTTGAATTCACATGCACACACACACACACACACATATCTAAGAAAAAAGGACATCTATATATGCACATGCCTTCACATGCCTTCAATTATCTAAGAAAAAGGACATCTATTTGAATTCACCCTGCGCACACGCACACACACACACATATCTAAGAAAAAGGACATCTATATATGCACATGCCTTCAATTCCCTCTTTTGAATTCACATGCGCACACACACATACACATATCTAAGAAAAGGACATCTATATATACACATGCCTTCAATTCCTCTTTTGACACACACACACACACACATATCTAAGAAAAAGGACATCTATATATGCACATGCCTTCAATTCCCTCTTTTTGAATTCACATGCACACACACACACACACACATATCTAAGAAAAAGGACATCTATATATGCACATGCCTTCAATTCCCCTTTTTGAATTCACATGCGCACACGCACACACACATACACATATCTAAGAAAAAGGACATCTATATATGCACATGCCTTCAATTCCCCTTTTTCAATTCACATGCGCACACGCACACACACACATATCTAAGAAAAAGGACATCTATATATGCACATGCCTTCAATTCCATCTTTGAATTCACATGCACACACACACATCAATCTAAGAAAAAAAGGACATCTATATATGCACATGCCTTCAATTCCCATTTGAATTCACATGCGCACACACACACACACATATCTAAGAAAAAGGACATCTATATATGCACATGCCTTCAATTCCCCTTTTGAATTCACATGCGCACACACACACACACACATCTAAGAAAAGGACATCTATATATGCACATGCCTTCAATTCCCTTTTTTGAATTCACATGCGCACACGCACACACACACACACATATCTAAGAAAAGGACATCTATATATGCACATGCCTTCAATTCCCTCTTTTGAATTCACATGCACACACACACACACACACACATATCTAAAAAAGGACATCTATATGCACATGCCTTCAATTCCCTTTGAATTCACATGCGCACACACACACACATATCTAAGAAAAGGACATCTATATATGCACATGCCTTCAATTCCCTCTTTTGAATTGCGCACACGCACACACACACACATATCTAAGAAAAGGACATCATATATGCACATGCCTTCAATTCCCTTTGATCTATGACAACACACATCTACACACATACATCATCTATATATGCACATGCCTTCAATTCCCTCTTTTGAATCACATGCGCACACGCACACACATACACATATCTAAGAAAAGGACATCTATATATGCACATGCCTTCAATTCCCCATTCACATGCACACACACACACACATACACATATCTAAGAAAAGGACATCTATATATGCACATGCCTTCAATTCCCTCTTTTGAATTCACATGCACACGCACACACACACACATATCTAAGAAAAAGGACATCTATATATGCACATGCCTTCAATTCCCTTTTTGAATTCACATGCTTTTACACACACACATATCTAAGAAAAAGGGACATCTATATATGCACATGCCTTCAATTCCCTCTTTTGAATTCACATGCGCACACACACACATATCTAAGAAAAAGGACATCTATATATGCACATGCCTTCAATTCCCTCTTTTGAATTCACATGCGCACACGCACACACACATACAC